GACCATTGATTAACGTTTATAAGCCGGGGTGAGGGGGGGGGGACTGGGGGGGGGGCTGTTGGGAGTGGGAGAGGAGGTCTGGATTACTAGCCCCAGTGACATTAACACAATGCCATACCCTGACCCGTCCTGTCTCTGGGATTGCACCTCCACACTGGTTGGCATCATGTGACTGCCTTTGTTGCCAGGGTCATTATTGCTCTTTACTGCTCAAACTCAACAACAAGTAAATAACAAAAAATTCTTCTACCTTCACCCTGACTGAACTCTGCCCACACTGTATTATCTATGCCTTCTGAGCAGTTCCACACACAATTACAAGATTGCTCCAGGTTTTAAAGCTCTACATAACAACACCCCCTCCTCAAGTTTTCTCCCCATCATGACCATTGATTAACGTTTATAAGCATGGGCAAAGGAGTGGTTAGATTACTTGTATTTACAATATTTGCTATGGAGATTTGTGAACACGGCCCAGTCCATCACACAAATCAGCCTTTCATCCAGTGACTCAATCAGTAGTGCCTTCCTGCTGCCTCGGCAAAGTAACCAGCATAATCAAAGGCCCCTCTCACCCCAGTTATACTCTCTTCCACCCTTTTCCATCGGGCAGAAGATATAAAGTTTGAATGTGTATTATCAGATTCAAGAATAGCTTCTTCCCCACTGTTATCAGGCTTTTGAACAGACCTCTCAAATGTTAATTCTGCTCTCTTTCTCTGTGCACCTTCTCTGCGGCCGTAAGACTGTATTCTGCACTCCGTTTTGCTGCCCTGATGCACTTTGTATGCTACGATCTGCCAATAGAGCATGCAAAACAACACCTTTCATTGTATCTTGTACATGTGGCAAAAATAAATCAGTCAAATATTTATTCCTCATCTCTTCCACTTCCCGCAAGTCTTTTACTTGATTCATCTGTGTCAAGAGGTCAGTGAAGAAAGTCTATGAAAAACACAGAAACACTTGAAGTAGAGTGGGTGAACTTCCTCTCTCTCTGCTGGGTTTCTGTGAGATCAGCAGTGCTTGCTGACATGCCTTTTGTTGATGTAACTGCAGGAATGTACAGGAAAGTTAGGTTGTTCTTTCATCTCCATTATTAACACCTGGATCATGTGCTCACATTACTTCTGAGAGGAGAGTGGCATTGTTCACCTATAGATGAACTTTATTCTATTGCAGTATTGACCCGTTCTTTACATTCTATAAAAGGTATGAATGTATGCCAGTTTGCAAACAATTTGGTTTTGATGTTTAGTATGTTCTTTAGACTTTAGCACATTTTTTGAGAAGTGGCCTCTCTTCCTACAAAGTATACATTGTTGGTATAAGGCTGGGCAGTTTTGTCTTTGCTGATGTGGGGATTTACAACATTAGTCACAAGATACCACAGCATTAGGTTATTTTGCGTTTCACGCTAATGTTGTATGTATGATTTTCAGATGAGAATGCTATCTCCTCTTTTTGAAGGTACTATTGTGCTTTAAGCAGTTAACATCTTATAATGTTCTGCATTAAATGGAACTCCTGCTGCGTAACGTTTTTTGAACAATTTTCTGGATTCAGTATCCATTGCAATTTCATTTTGGGGTTAGGTCCTCTTTTTAACTGAAGACATTTATTGACTGATTTATTGAGCTGACCAACTGTAATTTTATTGCAAGTGAACTCTTTTTGTATGTTTCCATAGTTGTACGGTTCGGCAGAGTACATACAGGTCGTTAGTGAAGCTATACAGACTTATGGATGTTGGTATCTGCTACTGAAGCCCAATTTTGTTGTTTGTTTTTGAAGTGAAAGATTGATCAAAAGCTCTTCTGAAGTTGACAAATCCAAGCTGTTTCTCACAGATCTGTTGTCGATGTATCACACAATATGATGTTTTTCTCCTGTCATAGAGAAGTGTGCTAGCTTGTTCTGTATTTGATTTGGTCTCCAATGCTGAAGCTGCTCAAGAATCCCAGCAATTGTCCTTTCCACACTTGCCAAGTTGCTGATCTATCGAATGGAACTAAGAGTTTAAATTTATCTGGTGGCAAGTTTGGTACCAGCATTTGCTGGGTACTTGATTGGATGATGGCTGTTAGGAGGTTAATCTCCTTTTACTACACTCATTTTGTCTTGTTGTAGTTTTGTTAACTGAAGTTGTTATGGTTGTCATTGAAGTTTCTAAATGTTGCTTTCAACGTAATGTTCAGTTTTCTTCTAACCAATAAGACATTGTCACAAATATGAATGAAGATGGCTGAAGGATTTCTAAAAGATCTGTGAGTAGAAACCTTATTAAAATGGCTTTGAATTCCAAAACAGGATTCTCACCTTCCCCAAATATTTCTGAAGAATTTTCTTTCCTTGCATACGATTAAGTTTGCTATCAAGTAAATAGTCTAAAGCTGTTAAACGGCTGCCAGAACTCTTAACTCTGATTCCCAACGTAGTTAACCAGGGTTTTATCCCCCCTATAAATGTTCAGATTGGGTGTCTGACAATTAACCTCTTTTTGAGAGTGCTTAATTTAGATTTATTTATTTCGCTGCTGGTAGACTTTTGCTTCTCTCACCGTTTTTACTTTTATTTGGAAGCTTATTTCCCCAATTACTGGTTGTAAAACACTTTGATTTATTCACAGTTCTCTTTGAATGGTTTCTCTGCAGCCGTTTTTGGTTCAGAAATTTTTGCCTTCATACCAGCTATTTGGTTCTGTGGCTCTTCTGGCTGCTAACTGGTCTTCCAGGTACTGTGACGACATTTTGAAAGAAAGAAGTAATTTTTAATTTTTTTTCTCTTTTCCAACTGTTGATCTTGATCTTTGATCTACTGTGCTTTTTTTAAAGTGGATCCCACCAGCGCCACCATCTTTTGTCTTGGCCACATCTATGAGTTTAGGAAGACACACTGGTCAGGCAGAAGGCAAGAACTGTCAAAAACCGTCTCCTGACCTTGTTGAAATGTCAAGTGGTTTTGAAGAAGCAAAACATTTGAGAGAGAGAGATAAGATAGGTTTTATTAGTTTAATTGCTAGACGAACTGGTAGAAGGGACAATGTGCTGAAGGTTGCCAAGCAACAGCCTCTGATCTGCAGTTGCTGTATTTTTAAGTAATCTGTCTAAGGCATTAGAAGAAAGATCTCCAAGCTGGAAAGGACAGTCTTTGACTCTTGTTAATAATACTAGAATCAGCTATGAAGATTTTGTTTCCATGAAGAGACTGGTAAAACTCAAAAAAAACCCAGGATTTCTAACTAATCTTCATTTGATCAGAAATCTGATTTGAACATGTTATCGCGTCTACAACATTTAACATTAAAATCTTGTTGACAGAAAGTTAACAAGAATGTGAGAAGTCTTCTTTAAAATCATTTATTAATTGAACTTAGACCCTTAGTTTTACTGGGGGATTTTCCCAATTTTCTTTCTTTAAAAGCACCATAACATCTCTGTAGAATTGCATCGCCTTGGTGTGTGTGAATGTGTATGTTTTGAACTAAGGGGATATAGTTTAATTCTGAATAGTAGGTTGTTGTTAACCACTTTTGTGACTTGTACAAATAATAACTTTGTTTCAAAAAAGGAGTTAGTTTTGAGTTTATTGAAGAATCATGGTAAAAGTTTTCTTCGCTCTAGATAACAAATAATAAAAACAAACAATTTAACCAGTGGACTAGTGGGTCTTGATTGCTCATGCACCTCTGCCATCAGAGCTGAAATATCACAGCATTCCATTTAATGTTTGAATCTATCTGCACTTGCCTTTCGTTCTGCTCCTTACTCCAAGATATCATTTCTTCATATAATGCAAACTCTTAGAAAATCTGAGCTCTGCTATCTACCCAATCCATCATACAGCAGAAAAGAGGAATGACCTTCCAATTGTTTTGGAAAGGATGTTTCTTAAAGAGTTAAATTCTCTATACTTTACCCACACATTAGAAAAAACACAAAAGAATATACTCACACTCTTTTTAATAATTCTTCGTCCAACAGCCACAACAAGCCAATAAGGTAGAGTTGAATTGGATGCTTCAGTTGTAACATCCCCGTAGGTCCAGCTAACAGAAAGTAGGTTCTTAGAATACTCCAGCCAAGTAACCTTTGGAGCTAGTGGTGCTATTAGAAAGGCAAAATAAACACAACACTTTAGAAAGGTAAAAGCGAAGAGATTAGTGATTATTCATGTGTGCTATCCATAGACTTCACTACTCTGACACTGCTTTCCCATCTTCTATTCTTTGCAAAAATGAGGTCATCCAAACCTCTGCTCATTTGGCCCCACCTTGAACCAACTCGCTTTGACACATCTCTGTTCGCTGACCTAAGCAAGATACACAGGTAAACAACTCCTTGATTTAAAATGTTGATGTTCATTTCCAAATTCCACTAAGATGTTTTCCTTCCTGATCTCTATAACCTCCTCCAGCTCTCCAACATTTTGAACCATCTGTGAATGTCCTCCACAACTCTAATTTTTACTGGTCTATCACTGACTGCATCTCCAGCTGCCAAGACAATAAGATCTGGAATACCACTTTACTCCTTTAAAACGCGCCTTAAAACCTATCACTTTAACTAAACATTTGGTCATCTCCCAATGTGTTTCAGGGTTGAAATTTGATTGAGTATGGAGCATCTCTTGGAAGCTTTAACCCAATATAAGGACAGTTTGTCGTGTTGATTATATCATTACAATACCACATACAGAATTCTGCTTAATTTAACCTAAAATACTCATCAAAATGGGAACTGGGTAAATATGTGCTTAGACCTTCAGATCCTTATCTACATATTGTTTGACAGAAATGCAAAGCACAATGGCCTGAAGTCTATGGTTGTAACAAAACTGGCAACATTCACCGTCAGACTCTGTGAAACTGCCAGCATTGTCTGACACGTGTTATTAATAGTGGAAATCCAGAAACTCTTTCCTGTTAATAATCGTACGTCCACAGGATGCATTGTTGAACTCCACATAGATACAAATCTTAGGTTCAACAACAGTTCCGACACTCCTTACCATATGTGCTGGATCTTTCAGTCTGGTGTGACCCTAGACTTAGCTCACTGTCCAGCTCCAGCATAACTCACTTCCCTCTGGGAGATAGTAAGAGCTGCAGATACTGGAGTCAGAGTTTCGGGTCAGGACCCTTCCCATTCCTCTGATGCTGCCTGGCCTGCTGTGTTCCCCCAGCTCCACACTGTGTTATCACTTCCCTCTGAGACTCCTTACGGTCCCAGCAGTGGTTACCATTTACCACTGGTGCTTCTGGGATCAGAAAGCCACCAACAATTTGAATGGCCAGCAAGCAGCTCTCTGAGGCAGGACCTCTTCTGTTGACGGTGACAGAGGTACATCTTCTAGTCAATTAGTAACCCGGTGGGAATTAAATGGTTGTGGTCTGAACCGGCTAAGGGAAGGCAAGCTCAGTCTGGATTTTATCCATGGTCAAGTTTCTATCACCCTCAGTGAAAAATTCAAAGCTATGTTCTTTCTCATCAACCACTTCATTTATTTAATGCACGTCTGCAAAACATCTCTGCAAAACAAAATGTGGGAAAGATTTACCCCGACTCACCCTGAAACTCACCTATTCAAAGTTCCAGAATGTTTGGGGAGGCGATGGCCTAGTGTATTATCACGGGACTGTTAATCCAGAGATCCATGGAATGTTCCAGGGATCTGGTTTCAAATACCATCACGGCATCAGGAATTAAGAGTCTAATGATGACCATGAATCTGCTGCTGATTGTGAGGAAATGCCCATGTGGTTCACTAATGGCTAGTAAATTCAAAATCAATTTCTGGAATTAATGCATGGTTTCACAGAACCATGAAGACAGCGCAACATTGAAGTTTTAAAACAAAAACTACGTAACTTTTGGGAAAATGCAAGAAAAATCTGGAACTGAAACATCTTAAAACACAAAAAATATTTTCCATCCATTGGATAAACACGGAAACAAATTAAACGGATGGGTTTGTGTAAAACAGTCTGGCAGACCCCTGTTATACTTCAAGACATTGTAAAACACCCTAATCTTACCTGTTATGTAGCTCATTATAGATCGATCACAGCAGCTCATTTCAGGCTCTCCCCAAGACACCATTGTAACACGAAACTCATAACGTGAAGCTGGTTGCAGGTTAGTCACAGTCTGACAACAAAACACAGTGATATGTTTCACCTCGCAACAAAAAAAAAATCTCATCACAGTGAAAACTTAATCAACAGTGATATGTATATGAGATAGTAGGAACTGCAGATGCTGGAAAATCTGAGATAACAAGGTGTAGAGCTGGATGAACACAGCAGGCCGAGCAGGAAGGCTGACGTTTCGGGCCTAGACCCTTCATCAGATGAAGGGTCCAGGCCCGAAACGTCAGCCTTCCTGCTCCTATGATGCTGCTTGGCCTGCTGTGTTCATCCAGCTCTACACCTTGTTATATCAGTGATATGTATATACTCAGTTCAACAAGAAAACTGTAAAAGTTTGATTAGTAACAGTTAGAATGCTGGCTGCAAGGAATGTTGCAGTGAGAGTCTTGCAATTCCATATCAGAAAAATGAAGTGCAAGTTTTAAATATACAGTGAATTTATAAACTAACATTCTAAAACTCTGCTACAGGTAATTTGGACTTTAGACGCAACACATTTTATATTTCCTTGATTGTATGATCATCTACCTCCTTTCTGAAGGAGGGTCTAGGCCCAAAACGTCAGCCTTCCTGCTCCTCTGATGCTGCTTGGCCTGCTGAGTTCATCCAGCTCTATACCTTGTTATCCTGGACTACCTGTTCCTTTTCTAACCAACTGTCATGAACCCAATCATTGGACTGGTTGGCCTGTTTATTTGGCACAGAACTATATCTTCCATCCCAAGGCCCAGTAGAGGGGTGAGAGCCCTTGCCTTCAGTGACTGATCAGAACAAGGCAGACCCTATACTTGCGAGAGACAGAATCTGTGTGGAGCTGCTCCAATCAGAAGTGGCCTCTCTCCCACATTTGATGCTGATAGGCTCACTTGTCAGTCTAGTAGCATTAAATATGGGAGAACATAAGAACATAAGAACCAGGAGCAGGAGTAGGCCATCTGGCCCTTCGAGCCTGCACTGCCATTCAATACGAACATGGCTGATCTTTTCATGGCGTCAGCCCCACCTACCCACCCTCTCACCATAACCCTTAATTCCTTTATTGTTCAAAAAAATTATCTTAGCTTTAAAATCATTCAACGAGGAGGCCTCAACTACTTCACTGGGCAGGGAATTTCACAGAATCACAGCCCTTTGAGTGAAGAAGTTCCTTCTCAATTCAGTCCTAAATCTGATCCCTCTAATTTTGAGGCTATTCCCTGTTGTTCTAGTTTCACCTGCCAATGGAAACATTCTCCCTGTACAGAACGGGTCTGTGATTGGAAGGTAGAAGGCTGCAATGAGAGAGTTGCATGGATTGGTGTCAGTGTGGCTCTGGCCTCAGGGACAGCTCTGTGCACAGCTGCCGTCTTTGGAGACTGCCGTCAGCCTGGCTATGGGCCTTGATGATGGCTAATGGCGTGGTCTAGAATCTACTGTCTCTTACAGGGCAAGGAGGGAGGATAGGAGGACGCTGCAAAGGAAGGAAAATGGAATGAAATCTGCCAAGTACCTGAGAGTAAGGAAAACTCAAATTTACTGTAAATAATGAACTGCTTGAAAATGAATGTGGAATCTCTAGTTTAAGGATGCATGAGACTAGGAGCTAAAGTTTGAGGACTAACATCGTGAACGCTTTTATATAATTAACACTGTCAATTGTTAAATTAATTCTCTGTTTCTGATCTGAGATGCAATAAATAGAGTAGTAACTACCTAGTTAAAATGTTCTAGTGTTGTATATCAACAATAGAAATACATCAGCTGTGATCTCACCATCTGCAGAAGGTGAGTTCAGAGTGATGGCTTTTTTGAGTAAAAGCATCTGTCAGTTTCTTTTTTGAAAAAATGCTAACCTATTCCTCTTGTTTTGTGACTATTTAAACACTGTGATGTCTATCATATTAACACTTTCCTTCTGTTGTGGCTTAAAGTTTAATAGAGTGTTGATGACTGAGGGTATTGATGAACTCTTCTCATTCTTTGTGAGTCCATGAACTCCAAACATCAAATTATAGAATCCCTACAGTGCAGAAAGAGGCCATTGGGCTCTTTGAATCTGCACGAACCCTCCAAAGAGCATCCCAGCCAGACCCAACCCCCACCCCATCCCTGTAACTGCACCTGGGGTTTTTCTCATGGCTGACCAACTTAAACCTGAACACCCCTGGGCAATTTTTTTTTTTTTTTAAAGAGCCTGGCTGGTCTATCTAATTTGCACATTTTTGAATGGTAGGAGGAAACCAGAGCATCCGGAGGAAAAACACACAGACTCAAGGAGAATGTGCAAACTCCACACAGACAGATGCCCAAGGCTGGAATCAAACTGGGGTCCCTGGTGCTGGGAGTCAGCAGTGCTAACCACTGTGCCACCCCAAAGTCAACTCAAATACAAAAGATATTGTTGCCAATATGTCCAGATCACCGAATAGTTTGTGAGAATATAAAAGCAGCCTCAAAAAAAAAACAAAAAGTAACGCTGAACATTATAAAGTACATTGAACATTATTCAAGAGCCCTTGAAAAAAATTATTTTGACATCGGGTCAGGTTCAAAGAAGGGAAGCTGGTTGCATAACATGAACAACCAAGTAGCGTGCAATTGTCCGTTAAAGCCAAGGTTGAAAAGTCTGTCATGCTAAAAACTGATCTTTCAATGTCTTTTACAACAGAGACATGCAGTACACAGCAATAAAGTTTGCTGAAATTATATAAAACAGTTAATCCCATTGTGACTAAGGTTTATAATTCTGGACACCTCTGAAGAAGGAATGTGAAGGTTTTGCGGAGGGGTCAGTCTAGATTTACTAGAATAGCTTCAGGGATGAGTGCCACATCTTTTAAAGCCAGACTTGGACAGATTCATATTGTATCTTTATTTCTGTGTTGGTATACGAGAAGTTGAAAAGCAGCTGTACTTGAACATACCACAATATGCCATTGATGATATGGCGATAGGGAGGTGGGGAGGGGATGGCTTAGTTGGTATTATCACTGGGCTGTTAATCCAGAGACCCAGATAATGTTCTGGAGACCCGGGTTCAAATCCTGTCACAGCAGATGGTGGAATTTGAACTCAATAAAAATATCTGGAATTAAGAACCTAATGATGACCATGGAGCCATTGTCGATTGTTGGAAAACCCAGCTGCTTCACAAATGCCCTTCAGGGAAGGAAACTGCCATCCTTACCTGGTCTGGCCTATCTGTGACCCCAGACTCACAGCAATGTGGTTGACTCTTAACTGCCCTCTGGGCTATTAGGGATGGGCAATAAATGCCACCTAGCTACTGACACCCTCATCCCAGCAATGAATAAAGGTTAAAAAAAAAGGTCAGGGAATGGGAGGGAGGAAATTAAATTTGAACTGTAGACCCAACCTTGCCCAAGCCTGGCTTTAAAAGATGTGGCACTGGAGAGATCACTGGAAGCGGGTTGTCAATTTAAATGTTATAATGACACTTGGTCCAGATTTGGTTTTGAAGGACACTTTAAATTGCCGCAAAGGTCATTGTGGAAAGGGGGTTAATTAGCTCAGAAGCCTGGTTTGCAATGCAGAGTGATGCCAACAGCATGGGTCCAATTCCTGGATTGACTGAAGTTACCATCAGGATCCTATCTTCCTGTTTCCCTTATTTAAGAATGGACGTTAATGTGTTGGAGGCAGTTCAGAGGTGGTTTACTGGATTGATACTTGGAATGAATGGGTTGGCGTATGAGGATAGCTCAGACAGATTAGGCCTACTTCCACTGGAGTTTAGGAGAGAGAGTGGGAACTTGATTGAAGTGTATAAGATTTTGATTGGTTTAGACCAGGTCTATGTGGAAAGCAGAGTTCCTTTTGTGGGTCACTCAGCACCAAGGTGTTAAAATATGGGTTTGTCCTTTTCGGTCAGAGCCAAGTAGAATTTTTTTTTCTCTCTGAGGGTTGAGAGACAATGGAACTCTGCCTCAGAGAGTGGAGGTGGGGCTCAGTGAATATCTTTAAGGTGGTGATAGATTCATTCCTTTGCCTTGAAGAATCTAAAGTTAACAGGGGGGTAGATGGGATGTGGAATTTAAGACACAAATAGATCAGCCATCATGTTAATTGAATGCAGAAGCTCGAGAAACCGAATAGTCTAATTCTGCTCCTAACTTGTAAATTCACAAGTTTAATTCTGGAAAGTTGGGTATCCACAAGGACTGTCAGATCCAGGAGGCAAGTTAATGCCTTTCCACTTGCCTCTAAGCCTCTCCTGGGAGTGTTTTTGCTCAATGAGAAACGCAGGTTGTTAAGGGTGACTTCCGGGCACAGAACCTGTCAGCATCATCAGACATACCACATGGAGTTAGAGTATGGGGATACCCTGTCTTTTGCATTTCTCAGGTGTTAAACCTCTAGCCTCACCCACAAACACCTAGCAGGCTAAACAGTTAAAATTCCCACCATAATCTCAATCATATGTACAAGGGAGAAGGGACAAATTATTCAAGTGAAATATAAGCATTTTTTCAGAACATAACATTTACTGTTGGAAACATATTCGCAGAATCCCTACAGTGAGGATGCAGGCTATTTGGCTAACCAAGTCCACACTGACCCACACCCCCACCCTATAATCCTGCATTCCCCACAACCAATTCACCTAACCTGCACATCTTCAGACTGTGGAAGGAAACCAGAGCACCTGGAAGAAACCTATGCAAACACAGGGAGAATGTGCAAACTCCACACAGACACTTACCCGAGGCTGGAATCGAATCTGGGTCCGTGGTGCTGTGAGGCAGCAGTGCTAACCACTGAGCCACAGTGCCATCCCATATTGCCCTGTTTGTTTGCAGTTAGAATGCCAAATAAGCCAGTGGCTCCTCAGGACACAGAGAAGCGAAGGAACTTTCTTGCGAGATTAAAAGTGGTTTACTGTGATAGTATCAAATGCTTACTATTTTTTACATTTTATTTATTTACAGAGATAGCTGAACCTAACACTTACTTAAAATACACACTGTGTCACTATTAGAATTTTTTTAGCTAAAATGTTCTCATTAATTTATTTGTTCAGACATTTTATGACACACCTTATGGGATTTAGCCTTCTGGTCCAGAAATGGGGATCTATCCAATGTCCCACAAGATCCTGTAGCTGAAATATTATAATCTAAAGTGTAAACTAGAGTCAGGTGTAGCATTGATTCTATCACCTTCTGCAAATAAGAGGCATCAATCAAGAACAACCAGTGAGCTCAATAAGAGAGAGAAGGATTCTCTGTTTATTCCCTTGGGTGTGTCACCAATTGATCAGAGCATCCGCAAACATAAGGAGCGAAGGCTCACATACAAGAGTGAAATGTGATGATGCGGTAAAGACAAAAACGTTTCCCTCTGGTAGATGAAATGACCAATTGAATCAGCCAACCTTTACCCACACTGTCTGATTTTCATCCCATTAATTTCAACTGGGGGAGGACAGAAAGGCAGTTTTGTGGGCTAACTACTGAATTGCTTCACCATCCAAGTAATGAAGATGAAAATCTATCTTGATGAATCCAAGGTCCCCAAAATGCAATCATTATGGTGAATTGAATTACCATCGAGGTTGTTAAGGCAATTGTGAATGGAATATCTTGAATGGTTTTCCATTTTGAGTTTTGGTTCAGCGGATCATGATGGTACATTTCCACAACGTACTTTTTAAACACCACAGAGTAAGGTCTGCTCCAGGTCAACACTACTGCTGTGGGGCCCAAAGGGTATAATATCAGGTTCTTCACTCCTGATGGGTCTGAGGAAGGAAAAATAAGTTTAAAATTAGGAGTCTGTCCACTATTAGGGAGATTTTTATGAGAAGTAATATTAACCTCGGATCCATAATTAATAGCAGATACTTAATAACATGAGTTGGATAAATGAAGTTTTGAATCACACAGCTTGATTATCTGAATACAGATTTGATGGACTAAAGATGGGGCCACAAAACTGTAGCATGAATTCTTTAATTAATGACCCTTTGAAGTTGGTTAGGGTTTGGTCCTGGACATACCGAAGTACTTGGATCTGGAAATCCTCAGCTGTCAGGCCCTCCTACACATTGGTTCGAGGTGCAATTCCCCTCAGGATCCCGGAATTTATAAAATGAGGGCTTGAGTGGAATACGTCGTTCCTTCTTGATCTGTTTACTGGGCTCCTTTACATCTGTGGCTACATTCCAAAAACGTTTCATTGGCTGGGAAATACTTTTACAATGTCCTGAGGATGTGAAAGATCCGACCTGGAAGGACGATGTAGAGTGTAGCAGGGATCCCGCTGAAATATTCTGACGTGATTTCTATTGCCAATGTTGTGCTGGATATTAGCACAAGATTTCACATTTGGCACTTTCTCTCTCTTGTGTTTTCCAGTTCTTCATTAAAAATGAAACCTTCTTCATGAAAGAGCGTAAACTGTATAAAGCATTACTTGGGCCACAGTAAGGGTATTGTGTGCAGTTATGGAACCCATATTAAAAGGAGGGATATGATTACACTGGAGAAGGTGCACAGGAGATTAACCAGGATGTTGCCTGGCCTGGAGAGTTTCAGTTATGAAGTGAGATTGAATAGACTGGGGCTGTTTTCCTTACAGCAGAGGAGATTGCATGGGGACATGACTGAGATGTTTAAATTATGAAGGCTATAGAAAGGGTAGACAGGAATAGATGTTTTCCCTTGGTGGAGGGATCGATGATCGGGGTTATAAATTTAAGGTAAGGTTTAGAACAACTGTGAGGAAAACCATTTTCATTTAGAGGGTGGTGGTAAACTGGAACTCATTGCCTGTAAGGGTAGTAGAGGCAGAAACCCTCATAGTATTTAAGAACTATTTAGATGTGCACTTGCAAGTGCCTAGGCATACAAGAGTATGGGTCAACTGCTGGAAAATGGGATTAGAAGAGTTAGGCGGTTTTTTTGACTGACACAGATGTGATGGGTTGAAGGGCTTTAATCTGCGCTATGATTGTATGGCAGGGAATGTTCAATCTAACAATCAGTGTTTGCACCCACATAGTTTTTAGTGGTACTTCTATCTATGTTCAGCTTCACTGAGATCTACTTACTCAAACCAAATGTAATTGGGAGAGAAGGAGGACCAACAGCAGGCCCGTTTTTCAAGTAGACCACAACCTGGTAATACGCTCCTGGCATTAGGTTTTCAATGATGTTACTACTCAGATTTACCTGATAAAGCAAAGAGATTTACATTAGTCAGGTATTTTTCTGCTTTTGATATCCTAATAATTTCAGGACTTCTAAGACCACCAAAACAATTTTGTCCAACCACTGCTCAGATATCGTTTTATCCTTCACAGCCAGAGCAGGTCTATATTATTTATACAGATTAAATATTAACATGCTGTAAGTGAGTTATTCTCTCTCACACACACACGCGCACAAACACACAAACACATACACACACACGCACAAACACAAACACATACATGCACAAACACACACACGCCTCCACTGGCAATCTCACTGTTCCCTTCACGTATTAGAAACTGCAATGTTAATATTCCAGCCTGGTGTCATTTATACTCGAGTTCAGAGAACCTCCTCATCATTCAAAGTAAACAAGTCTATTTTCAAAAAAAAAAATCTTGCTAAATGATTTTTGGCATATGTCTGGATGTTATAAATAAGAATTATGATAAACACAAACAACGGACTTGGCTTGGCAATGTAATATCTTGGAGCTAAACTAATAAATTATCAGCATTACAATGATGTGCAGCCATTAGTGCTTAGTGAAAAGGCCTCTCATTTCAACAGTCAGTGAACCAGTGAATAGATTCACGTCTAGAGCAGAAATCAATTATTTGATCCAGCTGAAAGGACTGTAGGAAAAGCTGGAATGTACACTTAGTTGCAACACTCGATCCACTGCTTACATGGCTGATGATTTACTCTACAAGGAATGAGTTTACTAATGTTGTGGAACATTAGCATAAATGTAGAAAGACGTACTTCATGAAATGGTGGCTAGTAAGACATGTGGTCTACATGTAGTAGCCATAGTCTACAAAGGACTGTGGGCATCTCTCTCTATTAGAAAGGGACATAACTTGAGGATAATAACTTCACAAACCTTGAGAAGGTGAGGAGGCAGGTCACCTACCACAGCAAGTATAGGGATTACTGTTGGCCTTATTCTGTCATCCACAGTAGAAAACTGAGCTAACTGACCCCTTCTACATTGTCTGTTTAGACTAATATATGGAACAAAAAACAACAAAATGGGGTAGTCGTCATTTCCATTATGTTATCATTTATTATTTAATGCTCAAATCTGAATTTACTTTCATTTTGAGCAAGAAGAATTAGTACCCAAAGAAATAGTAACTGTGCTCCAGTATACTCCTATCATTCAATAGGACCTTTTAAAATGGTATAGTGCTTAGCATGCAGGAAGAATATATTGCTAAACCAACAAACTCAGACTAAATCAAAAAGGTTCTAAACGGTGCACTAAACAAATGTAAAGAAAGATGAGGGGAACGGTGTGTGTACAAACTCAAAGGGGAAAAAGAGATGAATAAAAATATTGCACATATTAAAAGATGATCAGGGAGACAAAAGAGAGAGAAAAGAACTGCAGCTGAGGCTAAACATGTAATAATAGAACAATTACCGAGCAAAAGGAAGCTCTAACCCCATTGTACTCATGTTGGCAATCAGTAAGAGGGTTTCAGCTTGCTCCAACTAGCTATGGCCCAAGGGCAGGTCTAGAGCATAGGGCTTGGAAGCAGGTCATTCAATAAGATCTTGGCTGATTGAGTTGTTTTCTGCTCCACCTTCTTCTCTGCACCTCACAACCGTCAACTCCTTTATCTATCAAAAACCTGTTTTTTCAAGGTGAGTTAAAGATGGACTTAGTCTCCATTATCTTTTGGGGAAGAGAATTCCACACTCCAAAGACCCTCAGAGAAAAACAGTTCAACTTATCTCAGTCATTAAAGAGGGACCTCTTATTCTTCAACAATGTCCCCTAGTTTTAGTTCTCAACCCATCCACCACCACAACAGGAAACGTCCTCTCAGTATCCAGCTTATCTATGCCCCTCATGATCTTCTGCTTCAATAAAATCACCTCTCATTTTTCTCAGCTCCAATGGATATAGTTGTAACCTGTTCAACCAGAGAAGCCTTTCGTTCCAGGAATGAGTTGAGTGAACTTTTGTTGAACTGCTCCTAAAGTAATTATACCTTTACTTTCAAATAAGGAGACCAAAGTTGTACACATTACACCAGCTGTGGGAGAACTGGATTTCACTTCATGGGACACTGGAATTAATACTGAGGATGTTAGTGAACAACTCTTCACTGGGATCAGAATCTGGTGAATCATATAACTGGGGCTGCAGAGATGGCTTCAAGTCGGGTGGAAGGTTCATGTAACAAGAGATTTCAAAAGTTAATGACAAGGGACAAGGCAATACTGAAAGCAGCACTCTGGTTATCACAAGTGTATTATGAGGAGGGGACACAGCCTAGAAACATCAAGAGTTCATCAGGAAGTAGGAACATAGGAAGGTAAAATGGTTAAAAAAGACAGAATTAAAGGCTCTGTATTTGCATGCATGCAGCAACATGACCAAGGTTGGAAACTGAATAATCAAGGGGATGTACACTTTGGAGGAAATGGTGAAAAGAAAAGGAGGTGGGCAGGCTCTGATAATAAAGGATGAGACCAGAACCATAGTGAGAAACGAATTTGGCTTACAAGATCAAGATATAGAATCTCTTTGGGTGGAGATAAAAAAATGTCTAGAGAAACAAGGAACTGGTAGAGATTTTGTGGTAGAAGATAGGAAATTAGATTCAGGCATGTATAGATTAGGTGGGTTATAGGGGGATGGGTCTGGGTGGGATGCTTGAAGGGTCGGTGTGGACTTGTTGGGCCGAATGGCCTGTTTCCACATTGTAGGGATTCTATGAATTTAGCCCATCAAGTCTACACTGACCCTCAGAAGAGCATTCAACGCAGACCAAGCCCTCTACCCTATCTCTGCATTTCCAATGGTTAATCCATCTACCCTGGACACAATGGGCAATTTAGCATGGCCAATCCACTTAACCTGCATATCTTTGAACTGTGGGAGGAAACTGGAGAACCTGGAGGAAACCCATGCAGACACGGGGAGAATGTGCACACAGACAGTCACCTGAGGGTGTGATCGAACCCAGGTCCCTGTGCTGTCAGGCAGCAGTTAGAACCACTGAACCTACCTTGCTGCACCTATCCCCTAAGAATATTAGAAAATAAAGGGGTGAAAAGAGAAGAAGGGATTTAACACAATCATGATCGATAGAGAAAAAGTACTAGATAAACAAACGGCATGAAGGACTAACAACTCCCTTAGATCTGATCATCTGCATCCTAGGATATTAAGAGTAGCTGCTCAGATAGTAGATACATTGGTTAACCTTCCAAAGTTCCATAAATCCCAGAAAGATCCCAGTACATTTGATAACCACAAACATAAACCTCTATGCAAGAAGCGAGTGAGGCAAAAGCAGGAAACTATTGTCCAGGGTTAGCTTAACATCATCACTGGACAAATATTAGAATCCATTAAGAAAGTAGTAGCAGAACATTTAGTAAATCATAATACAATAAGCATGGTTTTATGAAAGGATAATCTTGTTTGACAATTTTGTAAGATTTCTTTGTTGATGGAACAAGCAGGGTGAATAAAGGGGGACCAGTAAATATAATGTATTGTATTAGGTATTTAATAAGGTGCCACAAAGAGATCACTGCAAAATAAAAGGTCAATGGTGTTGAGGATAATGTATCATTAAATGATTACTGAATTGGGATAGGTGGATAGTTTTCATGTTGGCAATTTGTAACTAGTGGCGTGTCATAGGGGTCAGCACTGAAGCCTCGACTATTTACGGTTTATATTAAAAGATTTGCATATGGGGATCAAGTGCATTGTGAACAAATTTGCTGATGATACAAAGATAGGTAGGAACGCACGTTGTGATACAATGAGTCTGTGAGGGGTACAATAAATTAAACGAGTGGGCAAAAAAATTGGCAAATGGACTCTAATTTTGGAAAATGTGAGGGTGCCCACTTTGTGGAAATGTGAGGAATAGAAATCAGAACATTTAAATCAACATATACTACAGAAAGCTACAGTACAGAAGAATCTGTGGGCCCTTGTGCATGAACTACAATAAGTTAGGATGCAGGTACAACAAGAAATGATGGCAAATATAATATTACCCTTTGTTGCTAGGGGAATTGAGTATAAAATGAGGAAGTCTTGTCAGAACTACAGACAGCATTGGTAAATCTACACCTGGAGTACATACACAGTTCTTACTTAAGGAGTAATACTTAAGGAGTAAGACTTAGATCGGAGCCAGTTCAGAGAAGGTTCATGAGGTCATTTCCTAGGATGAATGGGTGGTTTTATGAGGAAAGATTTAGCAAGTGCGGGCATAGGAATGAAAGGTGATCATATTAAACGATGGAAGGCGATTTGAAGAAGGGTTGGAATATGGTGTGGCTCCACTAGGTGTGTTCTGGTCAGGGACACGAGTAAGGGTTTTATCATGTATCATTTATTTCACATTTTCCTCTTTCTTCTTATCAAAATGAATCATTTCACACTTTTTTTGCATTAAATTTCTTCTGCCATGCCCATCTGTCTGCTCACCCATTCCATCTGTCTGTCCAAGTACCCTTGAAGACTATCAGACCCTCTTCAGTTCTCTCTGCTTCTGATTTTGTGTCAACTGCGAATTTTGAACATGTGCTCTGCACTGATCAAGAAAAGCATTGGCCTTAAGAGTGATTGCTGCACCCCTTGCTCTGTCACTACAACCATTATGTACCTAACTGCAGTCCAAAATTAACCATTCACTACTATTTTCTGTTTCCTGTCACTTTATATCAATGCTGTCACTGCCCTTTTGATTCCATGGCCTTCAACTTTGTGCACTTTATCGAACACCTTTAGGACACCACATCAGCCACATTACCCTTATCAACCATTTCTGCTAACTCCTCAAAACTCACATTAGTTTATCCCAATTAGCCTTCAACAAATCTGACTTTCCTTATTTAAATTCATATGTGACCAAGTGACTGTCAATAATCCAGCGCAAAATTTTTTCTAAACATTTTCTCATCATTGATGCTAAGCTGACTGGCACAGTGTTGTTCAGGTTATCCTTACATCCTTTCTTCAACATTTACAATTCTTGAGTGCGATGGCAGCACCCGTGAGTGAGGAGGATTGGAAACTTATGGCCAGTGCCTCTGTAATTTCCACATGCATTTTTCTTCAGTATCTTAAGGATAGTGCTGACTTATCAACGTTTTGAACGTCCTATCTATTTAATAGCCACTCTTTATCAACTTTTAGTCCATTCAGCATCTCTACCACCTCTTCTTTCACAGAGCATTCTCTTCCTTGCCTATCAATAAAAACACTGTTCTGTATTCTATGGTAGGATACAAGTTCTAAACAGAAGTTCTGGATCACAGTTGAAAAGATGCACAGTATAAATCTGAAAGAGAACAGTGGAAGGAAAGCGCAAATTAGACTGAATTGGATTGCACACAAGGCAGATGCATCAGGATATCTTAATTACTTTCATCCATAATGAAAAAATGAAATACTGTGTACAGAAAATGAAAAATAAGGAGGGATGGAAGCCAAAATGGTGCTGTTGGCAGTGGGGAGAATTTGAGATGCCTTTCAGACTTAAATCATTCGCATCAATAAACAATATCACAGCAAACAATTCCATTTTATTTAAATGTACATCTATAAGTAACACCGGCCAATACCTTGTAGCAATAACGGGTCTCAATTCTCTGCCCCTCTAATTGCTGCTGACAGGACAGAGATAAGATCGACACAATACTATCGTAGTTGGTTTCTTGCGAGTGGATCCATGATACATGGGCTGTAATTGAATTCAGTATCTTCACAGCAACATTCTGAGGGCTTTCAGTGACCTCCTTAAACCACTTCCCAGAGGAACCTTCAAAAAGAAAATCATGTCAAATAATCTTTAATGAAAAGAGAAAATAGCACCGGACTTACGAATATAACTGAATATAATTTGGCCACGACGCATCACTAGTTTTCGATGTTTCTACAATGGTAAATCAAATGCCCAGACAGAACATGAACCAGCTTGAGGAATCACAAGGATAACTGAAAAATAAAGACATGATTCATTTATTTACATAGAACATTACTACATTTTGGGGGAATTCCAAAGCCTTTTATATTCAATGAATTATTTTAGTGCACTGCAAAAAATTTACATGTAGTAAATGAACAACCAGATAATCTGTTTTTGATGATTCTGGCTTATCAAAAGTTAGTTAAAACAGAAGGAGAATTCTCTTTAACATCCACTCCAGTATGCACATAAAGCCTTCAGTTAACATTACAGCTGAAGGGAAAAAAAAAGACTTCTGACAATGCAGCACTCTCTCTGTAGACAGTGTCATCTTAAATTATGTACTTGGACTTGAATTCACAACCCTAGCTGTTGCTGACACCAAGTGGTTACTGCAAGAATATGACCATGGAGCAATTTAAAAATGTCTCAACAGCCACAGAGATTCAAAAGCACAAAAAAGAGATAGAGAGTACATGGACGGAATATCGTGGGTTCATGGTTAAAACTAGACAGCACGTGAAGGTTGTGTATGACCTCTCTTTGAGGAAGCCTGCTGCATCTTGTCATACCCAAGCACTAAAGAAGAGAGCAATGAGCCTTCCCCCGGATCAAAGACCACGTGGGCAGAAGCTAAGAACTGCAGCTGATCCTCTGCACTCAGCTGTCCTTCGTGAAGTGCTTCACCCATCCATGACCTCAGAACAGGGGCTATAGGTAAATGATGGCAGGATGGGGTTCCCTGGGGAATTGGATTGGCAATGAGGGCAGGAGGGTCTCTTTCAGTGGTACTCTCCAGTGTCTTTCCAACGCAGGGCCACCCAATCAAGCCATTGATTACCTTCAAATCAGAAGCTGCCAACTTAAACGCTAGGAGGCCACAAGCAAACGTGCCAATGTATGAATCTGTGCACAGTGAGTTGGCAACAGAGTTAATATAAGAAAGGGTAGAACGAGGCCCTTAAGTACACATTAATTGTGCGCCCTACCATCTGATTAAATGGCTCAGCCATCAAATCCACCAGGGGAGGGGGCACAGGATTCTCTCCCTTGAGTGAAAGAAAGAAAGAAAGAAACCAAGAGAGAACACACAAAAACAACAGAAAGTGGAAGAGATGCCAAAAAGAAAGCAGAGGAGAAACGAACAGCGAAAGTTGAAAGCTGGCATACGAGAGGAACATTTCTTTTCCTTGTAAGAAATACTCTCTCCTGCGTTGTGGCACAGCACTGAAAAATTATTTTGCTACATGTCAGATCTTCATATGAGGTAAAGTTTCCATGTCGCAAAGTTCAGTTTAAAGGAAAATGGATATGGTTTTGAGAGAATCAACAGATGGTTGATGTTACAGTAATTAAGCTTTCCATTACTTTATGTTTTGTGATTCATCTCCGCTGTCCTGCTTCGCTCCATAAGAATTTGACAAAATTCTACACTGACTCACTTAATGACAATCAATCATTCAAACTGGTTGGACATTCCTATGTACGCATAATTAGTTGTTCCACCAATTGAGGAAACACCCCTTCTGCCGTCCATGTAATGAGTAGACTGTCATACATTTGTGGAGGTTGTAAACAGGCATCAGTGGCCTCTGTAGTTCTAGGCCTTGCCGAATTTTAGATGCTTCACCTTCATTTCTAACTGTTCAGTGTGTGCAAAATAAGCAAAGGGTGGGGGAGATATGTACATCTCTGGGCAAGACCGAATCTCTTAAAGGGCAGCTGTTAGCCACTAAAGGGGTAGCTCGGGACCTTGCCAACACTGTGATGTCAGACAGTCAGACAGCACAGGTATGTGTAATAATTGGGAGGAGAGGTAATCAATAGGTGCAGAATTTCTTCACTGACTACTCACCAGCAGAGGGAAACACACGCAAGTTTCTGGGGTGAGTTAATTTTACATAGGAAGTACAGAAGATTCTGCTTTTATTATATTTAGAATCCAATGAATAGCTTATGACCAGAAAGCTTTCATTCTATGGTGGTGTTGCCTCTTTTGAGACTGCAATTTCCATTGGAGCACATGAAAACCTCAAGGAATTGTTGCAAATGTGTACTCCTCAACATCAATGTCTTCAGTATTGCTCATCCTAATCTCAAGTGAATTTCTGAAGAAGGGTCTAGGCCTGAAACGTCAGCCTTCCTGCTCCTCTGATGCTGCTTGGCCTGCTGTGTTCATCCAGCTCTACACCTTGTTATCTATAGTCTCAAGTGAAGTTCCTTTTACCAGAACCACATGCAGGTCACAGAACATTGTGACTGGGCAGTATCTTCACCTTCAGAGAAGGAAGAAAGAGGGGGAATGAGGCCTGATGACTTGGAAACTCAGTTGGAACGTGCAGGATAGGAGGCACCAACTGACTGACACCCAGATATGGCAGAAGCAAGCATTCAGGAAGATCAAAGGAACAAGGAATACGAGTAGGCTACCCCACCCTCTGAAGCTGCTAAGCCATTTAATCAGATCGTGGCTGCTTTGGTTTTAACATCAACTCTGCATTCCAGCATATCCCTGATAATCGTTCATCCTCTTGGTTATCAAGAACCTATCTACCTACCTCCATCTTAAAAAAAATTTGAAGATTCTGCATCCACTACCTTTTGAGGAGGGGAATTCTAAAGACTCTCAACCCTCAGAAAAAAAAACGTTTCCTCGTCTCTGCCTTAAATCGGTGGTCCCTTATTTTTAAACTTGACCCCTAGTTCTAGATTCTCCCAACTTGTGAAGTCCCCTCAGGACTCTTCTAAACTCTAGAGGATATAGGTCCAGTCTGTCTTGCCTTTCCTCATAAGGCAATTCACTCATTCTAGGTATTAGTCTGGTAAAGCTTTTCTGCACTGTTTCGAACACATTAGCATTCTTCTGTACGTGCAGTGACTACTACTATATACAGCACTCCAGATGCAATCTCACCAATGCCCTGTATAACTGAAGATTAACCTCTACAACGTTGCAGTCAATTCCCCTCACAATAAACCATAACATCCCTGATCACTCGCTGTAACCTACATGCTAACCTTCTGTGGTTCAGCCACACACCCTTAGGTCATATTGGGGTTGGCACCTTATCAATCTCTTCACAGCAAAGACTACACAAAATTGCCAGATGACCAAGGGAGACAAGGCAAGGTCAAAGAGCATTATCCCTTTCTTTGTTCCACACTGCAACTTGCTTCCTCATTGACACTGTATAGATCTGGTGTAAAAACAATTCAAGCTGGTACAAATTTCTGTGGTGACTGAGGGTGACAATGCAGGAAGGTTGAGTTTATGAATGAAGGAGACTGCACAGTGGCAGCCTGGACAATCACATTTGGGATATGGAACTGCCCCAAGAAATCCTGGACAAACCTGCTGCCAATCACATCCTTTGGAAGATAGCATTTTGCTGGAGCACTCTCGGCTGCCTCATTCTTTGACCCAGGCCACACTTTCGTTCTTCCCTTCTCCTTCTCCATAGGGAAGGCATAGAGAGACCTCTGTCACTTATACTCCAGAGTCAGAACCAGGGCAGAAGAGGACATGATCGCACTGGAAGGGATGGAGGGGAGATTCACCAGGATGTTGCCTGGGCTGGAACATTTCAGCTATGAAGAGAAATGACAATAGGCTAGGGTTGTTTTCCTTGAAGCGAAGAAGGCTGAGGAGGGACCTGACAGAGATCTATAAAATTATGAGCCGCAAGATTAAGGTGATAGGTATAAACCTCTCTCCTTAGTACAGGGGTCAGTTATGAGGAGGCAAAGATTTAAGGTCAGGGCAGGAAGTTTAGAGGGGATTTAAGGAAGAAGTGTTTTACCCAGAGGCTGGTGGTTATTGGAACTCTCAACCTGCAAATGTGGCAAAACCATTACAGTGTTTTGTAAGTATTTACATGAACATCTGAAGCACAAAAGCTTATGGGCCAAATGCTAGGAATGGGATTAGAAAAGATAAGTGTTTGATGACTATTACATTCATGATGGGCTGAAGGGCCTCTTTGCATGCTGTAATATGATATCACTCCAAGGTTGAAAAAATACAAGTGTCAGGCAAGGCTGGAGTAAATGTGAAATTCAACCTTCAGTGAGTAAAACTTAAAATTATTTGGAAGTTCTGCTCTAAGAGGTACAACAACATTAGCATCAATAGTGCAGAAAGTGCAGTGACTTTTATTGCTATAGCTACTTTTCATCCACAGAAAGTGCAACCCCAATGTGAATGCTTCACTCCGACAGCCAATCAGCAGAGCAAGATTTACTGCTTTTCACAATATTCATCGTAAACTCAGCCTTGGAAAGTGCAGTTTAAAGTTCAGTGTGAAAGCAGCAACGCTAACAGAAACAACATGCTCACTACATTACACTGTTCTGACCACGGTCAGATATTTTTCAACATCACACTGTTGCTTGGGGTGACTTTCTCTTTGCTAGCATCTTCTTAAATATGTTCTGTGTGAGTAAGAGTCCTAAAGAATGAAAGCAAAACAACAATGCACGAGAGGGTCAGGGAACTTTGTCTCACATGTAGTGGTGTGCTCCAGATAGGGAACCTGGGAACAGCCTGGAGGCCGATGTTCTCCATAGTAGAGACAGCTTCTTCTGCAGAGCCATTTACCCGTGTTACCCAGGAATGGCGTCATTACAGGAGAAGGCTTTGGTGTGAACCTTTGCTTCCTGATTGACTGGATATCGTCTCCCAGCGTCTCAAAATTTTAATGAGGTTCCAACGCAAGGGCAGTTGGTGACAACTTCTCCTTTGTCAGAAATGCATCAGTTTGTATTGAAGCAACAAATCAAGACTGTGTCCCCAAAATATTAAGGATATCATCATCCAAAAAAGCCACCATAACCAATACTAGCCTCCCCTTCTGCTCAGTGTTACTGCCTGTAAATGAGGAGGAAGATTGGCTCCTCACTTTTTAACCCCTTCTCGGTTGGTCAAAACATCATCTTTCTTTTTAGCTTGCAAAAATTACCTAAAACATAGATCACTAAGAAAATGATGGGGCCAATTACCAAGGTTTTCTTGAGTGAGAAAAAAAACAGAAGACTCCTACTAGCCCTGAGGAAAAAAAAAACACAAAAGCTCAACATCACATGTAGACGCAAACACAGGTAATATGTTTAAAAGGAAGAAAAATGAATTTTAGAAGTCTTTTGAAGCTTTCAGGTGCTAGATTTTAAACTTCAAACTACAGTTGACTAACTATTGACTATCCACTACAGTAGCAGAACTTGTAGATAGCTTGGTGAATGGTTGTGTTTGCAAATATATTTTATCAGATCAGGTGAGAGAACCAGGCAGGGCGAAAAAGGCAGTTACAGATTGTGTTGTTTATAAATTCATTTCCCCTCCTGTCTACCTGCTGCTCATAAGCAGTTGGTGAAATATAGTTCAGTATATATTCTAGAGTTGGGCTCCATTCTCTGTCTAATCTGCCTAACTGTCAGGTGAGACATTTATCTTGTGACATTACTGTGAATTAAACAGGGCATTCAAATTTCCTGAGGTGGACAGTTGCTTGACTTCAATGTTTTCAGCTAAAAATATTAACTTCAGTGCAGGCATCATGGTCACATGAAGAGACAACAAGGTGCAGGGCTGGATGAACACAGCAGGCCAAGCAGCA